GAGGGTGTTGCTCCATTGGCATCCCTCAGCTTCGGCATCATGGCAGGCCTTTTGGTAGCACTGGCCGGCGCTTCCCCGGCTTTGGCTCAGCGAAATCAGTTTGCCGGCAGCGGCAATAATGATGAGGAGCTCAAGAAGCTGGATGTGGGAGCCAAGTCGAGCGGTTTGTTGAAGGAGCTGGGCAGCACTGCTGGTGACCCAAAGTGGGACGCAAAGGAGAAGTTGGTCTACTTGGCTGACAACATCGAGAACAAGGAGGACAAACAGAAGTGATGGCTTGCATTTGATGGGATGCTTTTGAAGTAGCGCATGCCTGTAGATTGGTTAGAGTATGTTAGAGCCATCGTTTCAACTGTTGCGTCAAAGACTCACCGTGCCGCTACTGTCAGCAGAATACTTGCTTGCTTGCTTTTTGGGGATTTCACATGATTCCACACTTCCATGTTTTAAACAGGTTCAGAAGCATTTCATTCGTTCCCGAAACAATATCCAAGGCCAGTTGGAGCGTGCGTTTCATTGCCAAACTAGGTCCACGGCAGATATTATGCCGTTTGTTTTCCAGCGGATTTATACAACAGTCACGGGAAGCCGGGTTTTATTCATAATTCCATTGGTGTTGGGATGTGGAACCTCCTGGCCACTGCGTTTCATGTCAGGAAACGTGGTTTTGAACACCTGGAAACTACGTTCAACCTGCATCAAGACACATGTTTCTGTTACATCTTGTAGCGTGCAAATCCCCAAATCTAGCAATGAGTTGGCAGTCTCTCCATCTTGCCGTGGACCAACAGGTGTAGTGCAAGAGATGTTAAGAACATGTGCATTGCAGTGCCATGTCCCTGTTGACTGCAAGAGATGTAAACAACGACTAAAGAACGTTTCAATCATTTGTCATTTGAGAGACGTGGCCGTCCTGTTCATGTCTTCTTCGTGCTAAACTCTTGTCTCCTTAACCTATGGTTCAACATAAAACTTGGACCGATAAAAAACTGCGACGTTCAAGTCTGAGGCCCCCTACCAAACCCACAGGGTGTGGGGACTGGCGGGGACTGAACCACCCGAAACCACACGGCTGCAATATCAGCGACGGGCCAACTACTGGTACATGAGCAATGCCGACAGTTCTGCAGTTTTTTTGACAAACCTCAGCACGCGATTCAGTTCGCTAGAGGTCCTGAAGCCATGCCTGGTCGCACAGCACTCCTGTTGGCAGCTGCTATGCTGGGCGCATTTGCTTGGCAAAGCGCCTTCGTCCAAACTCCTGGAGCCAGTGCAAAGGTCAGCAGCCCTGTTCAACTGAGGGCCACCGGACGTGCCGCGGACACGGTGGATGCACAGGATGAGGGTGTTGCTCCATTGGCATCCCTCAGCTTCGGCATCATGGCAGGCCTTTTGGTAGCACTGGCCGGCGCTTCCCCGGCTTTGGCTCAGCGAAATCAGTTTGCCGGCAGCGGCAATAATGATGAGGAGCTCAAGAAGCTGGATGTGGGAGCCAAGTCGAGCGGTTTGTTGAAGGAGCTGGGCAGCACTGCTGGTGACCCAAAGTGGGACGCAAAGGAGAAGTTGGTCTACTTGGCTGACAACATCGAGAACAAGGAGGACAA